GATTGTCCTTACAGAGCCTCTCCCTAACAGTTACAGTCTGTTGTACAAACAGAACCTTAAAGAGCTAGAGGTAATAAAGAAATATGTTATAAATAATCTAAAATATAGCTTTATTAAGTAAAGTTAGAGCTCTTTTACATCTCTTATTCTTTATGTACAGAAACTAAATAGTAACTTATGTATTTATATTAATTACTATAAACTTAACACTTTTACCTGTAAGAATGTGTATCTAATACTGTGCATAGACAAACTCCTGTTAAGACCTACTAAGGTAGTAATTTTTACTAAGTTTAATATTTACGCAGCCTTTAATAAGATTAGAATAGATCTAAGCTTTAAAAAGTGTACTACTTTTTAGACATAATATAAAACTTATAAGTGTAAAGTTTTGCTTTTTAAATTATGTAATAGTCTAGCAACTTACTAGCGCTATATAAATAATATATTAATTAACTATTTAAATAATTTTTATATTACTTATCTTAATAACATTTTTATTTACTTTAAAGATAAGGTAACTTATATCCTCTATATTAAAAAAGTCTTAGAAAGGCTATAGTAAGTAAGATTATAAGTAAAGATTAAAAAAAGTAAATTTTATGTTACTTAAATAAGGTATCTTAGCTATATACTTTTAAACAAAGGACTAGAGGTTAACCTAGAGAAAGTAGAGGTGCTACGCAACTAGCAGGCGCCTACTACTATAATAGGTGTGAAATCCTTTCTAGGCTTTACTAGATTTTATTAGTAATTTATTCTAAAAATTTTTTATATAGTAAAACTAATTATTACGCTTTAAAGCTTTACTACCCTTTTTAAATAAACTTTAGAGTGTAATATAGCTTTTAAAAAGCTGAAGTCTACACTACTAAGTATACCTACACTTTACTATTTTAACTTTGTGTTATAAACTAAAATTAAAACTAACGCTTTTAATAAGGTAGTAGTAGGAGTCCTTTTTTAGGAATAAGCAGATAGAAATTAGTGCCTTGTATTATTCTATAGCAAGGTCCTATTTAGTTTAGAGCTAAACTAGAAGATACATAATAAGAAGCTATTTATAATTATTACTATGTTTAAATAATAAAAGGCTAAGCTTACATCTATAGTAATAAGCACTTTAGTATATACTAATTATTATTTATTAGAGTACTTTATAATAATAAAGGTGCTAAATGCTTGTTAAGTCTGTTAAGCTAAAAAGTTAGCTTAGTATTACTTCTAAATTAAGTACACCCCTAGTAAGAACAACACTAGGGCAGACATTCTTAGTTATTATAAATAAGACATAGAAAATTTAAAAGCAGCTTAAACTAATAATAGGTTAAGGGTCTTACTAAGACTACACTAACTGCACCTTTAAATTAACTCTAAACTAGCCTAGTACTATATTACTTAAATAACAACTTAAGCAGCTACACTAAATATTATAAAAGGACTAAACTAAGTTATGTCTTTAGATTTTTTAGAATTAATTAATGTATTACTTTAAAAAAATTAAGCTTTTTTTACGCAGAAGTAAGAACTTCTACTTTACTATTATTAGATAGAAAACAGACTACTCCTTTATGCTAACTACTTATATGTGCTAGCAGACTTGTTACTGTGTACCTAACTTATTTAAGAAGTCTATAACTAAGTATTTTTAGCATATTCTAGTGCTACTAAGACTTATTAGTTACTAGCCTAAAAGTACTACTAAAAGGGTATAGAGGCTACTTATAAATAATACATATAAAATTACCTTCTTTATTATAAGGCTTATCTAAAATAGACCTAAACTCTAGGCTTTATCTACCCCCTACTAATTCCTGCTTAACTAATGCAGCACTTGTGCATTAACTTTAAGGAGTTTTCTAAAGACAAGTCTAGATATAATTAGATTATAGTTATAATTAATTACTTATTAAAATAAGCTATTTTTATTCTTTACTATAAAATAATTAATGCCTAAGAAATAGCTACTTTATTTATTTAATAAGTGTACTGTTTTAGCTATATACTTAAAACTATTATTTTTAATTAAGGACTTTAGTTTATATCTAGTTTCTAGTCTAAATTTTATTAAATTTTAAGTATAAAAGTTAAGCTCTTTACTGCCTATTATAAAGAAATAAATAGCTAAATAAAGATTATAAATAAATATATTAATTAAAAACTAAGGCCTTTTATATTTTTTTACTAAAATAACTAGAGTTCTTTACTGCCTTTAATTAATTAGGCTTAGATAACCTTACTTTATATAATAATTAAAATGTTTTTATATTAAGTCTTATACAGCTCTAAACTATGTTAAAGCTAAGACTAGAAACATTCTACAGAACCTATTATAGCTACAGACAAGTTAAATTAAAAAGATGCTCTAGCATTAGCAACCTATATACACGCAGCCTAGAAGTTAGCTAAGACTTATATAAAAAAAGCCTAGAATTAGATGCAAACTATAGTTAACTGCTACTACTAGCTAGTTAACTAGAAAGTTAGTAACATAGTCTACCTAAACACTAAAAACCTAGCTGTTTAAAGACCTAGCTAAAAACTATCTAAATAATAAAAAAGCCTCTTTAAAGTACTTAAATAAGTTAAAAACTTATACTGCCTAAAGCTACCTTTAGAGTTAAAAATACATAATGTCTTTATACTAAACATGCTTTATAAAGACTCTTAAAATCTACTTCTAAAATAAGAACTTCTAAAACCCCCTAAAATTGCTATTAATAAAGTAGAGAAGTAAAAAGTAGAGAAAATACTTACTAGTAAGCTTTACTAAAAAACACTTAAGTACTAAGTAAAATAAGTAGAACATAACTCTAATCTAGTCTAGTATAAGGCTTTAAATTTTATAAGTTCCCCCTTATAAATTAAAAGCTTTTTATAATAAGCATCTAAATTAGCTAGGACCTCTAAAGGCCTTATAGAAGTAGATTAAGGCTTTTAAAGCTAGTGTAAAAGGTATAGATTACTTAGCAAATAATAAAGTATAAAAGTAAAAAGTTAAATTATATTTTTACATAATATTATTATAACTTTATAGACATGTTGCTTAGAAGGTCTAATAGTAAGCTGTTAGACACCTTTAGACTCTTCTTTTTCTCCTCTTCTACCTTTCTTTCTCTTCTCTCTTCTCTCCTCTCTCCTCTTTAGACTCTTTTTAAACCCCCTCTACTTTATTCTTAGCTACTTAAAAGCGCTATAATGTCTACTTAAAAGTTAAACACTAGAGCTTTTAAAGCTAAAACTTATTAGAGCAGCTTAGTATTCTAGTAAAATAAGGCTACTTAAACACTAGCTACAGGAAGCCTAGCTTCTTAACTTTTTACAACCTACACTACCTGCGCTAGGTTTTAAGTAGACTTTAAAATAGCTTTAAAGGCCCCTTTTTTGTCTTTTTTACTCCCTATGTTTTAGGCTGCTGCCTATAGCTTAAGATAGCTCTAAAAGACTAGAAATTTTTTCTTATAATATAAAAGGACCTACGCGCGCGTTAGTAAACTATACCTTAGCTATATTAAACTATATTTATATAAAGTTGCATTTTTTATTATGTAAAGTGTAATACTTGCATTTCTTTAATCTAAAGAACTAAAAAGAGAACTTAACTTAAAGGCTATAAGCTAGAGCGTAGGCAGCCTAAAGGCAGATAACTTAAAACGCCTCTAAAGAGGCTCTAGAAGAGGGGCAGAGCAGCATAGTAATTTTTTTAATGCTATAATTAGTTAGCAGACTAAGCTATAGAGTGTTAGGTGTATAATAATACTTATAAAGTAGAGATTTAGATAATAGCTAAAAAAAAAACTAATAACATTAACTAGACTATATAAGTAAGGCAAGCAAACACTTATTGCTATAAATAATAAATTTACTATATTAATAACAACTACACTGCTAGTTACTACTAAACAAAAACATTATAATAAAGGCATTATATTAGTATTAGGTTTTTAGTTTATTTTTTAGTAATAGGAAGTTTTAGTTAAGATAGTTATACTTATTATATTCTATTTAAATTAGTTTTTAAATTAGTTTTAAATCTTTTCTACACACTACAGATAAAAACTATTAGCTTATAAAAAAGGGGGTAGTGTAATAATTCTATAAATTGTTCTATCTTAGGTTGCTTAGATCCTATCTAAAGGGTCCCTGTATTAGCCCTAACCATGTCTTAACCTAGTCCCCTGCAGTTACTCTTATTCCCTTATGTATTTAGTTGCACCTTGCCCCTGTAGCTAGCTTAGTAGTTTTCTAATATCCTACGTACAAGGCCTATAGGTGTTATTGGTATTCCCAGGTCTCTAAGTCCCCACGCACTCCCATATGCCTCTAAGTGGATTCATACCGCATTCGGACCCATTGTCTTGCCTGCGCCGTTACAGACTTACTAAGAAGTGTTTTTTTGCATAGCATTTATAGGTATATAGGTCTTTGCGTGGAATTTATAGGAATATAGTTTATAGGTTTTAGTCTACAGACTACCTTTTATTGTCTACTCTGCTTATAGTCTTCTTCTATAGGCTTCTTCTAATGCAGTCTTCTTCTCTAGAAAGAGTTTAATAAGTGACTTAAAACAAGCTCTGCTTATGCATTTATTTATAAACTGTTATAGTATGTTAGAAATTGTAGTATTAAAGAAGATAGCTGTTTTGTTTAGTAAGTTTATTAGACATTAGTAGTTATACAAAGTTTCTAATATTACTGCCCTTATTTTTAGGCACTAGAGTTAAGCTTAATTTATAGGATTTTATTATATAAGACTTTTAAAGTTGTTTTGTTAATAGGGAAGCAAATTTTTAGCTAAGACTATAAATTAATTCAAGGATCTAATCCAGATTCAGGATAGCGTGGATTCGGATCGATCCACGAATCGGATCGATCTATCGCCAGCACTGCTATGTACATGCGCTATACCTGTCCTGGAGAATCACGTGATGTGACCCCTGCGGGCCGTGCCCTCACCAGCCTCGGTCCGTCCTTCCTCCGTGGGGTTGGAGATCCGTATTGTCAGGATGTGGCGCGGAAGTACGGCGTTCTGCGTACGTCTTGTTCCCCCTTCGATCTCGAATACACCAGAGCAAGAGGTGTAGTAGAGGAAAACTAACAGTAATGCAGCATGCCGACGTTCCTCGTCATGAAATCCGGCTCAGTAGTCGACGCCATCCGCGGCGCCAACCCTTCCGCCCTCACAGCCGCCGTACGCAAAGCCGCAAATGACGCCGGAGCCAAATCGAGCGCCGCTTTTCAGTCGAAGGGATATACACTGGGATCTTCATCACAACCAAGCAGGCCCGTCAACGAATCGCCTTTTGCGGGATTGTAACGCATGATGTCGGGCAACGGCGGCCTAGGAGATATCGCGGTTCGGTTCGTAGCGCTGTACGTCATCAGCCTGCTGTCGTTCGATGGATACCGCGCCGCCGAGGAGAGCCCCTTCAGCGTGCGAGCGAGAAGGTGAAGTGCGATACAAAGTGGACTGGTGCATGGAGTTACAAGGCATCTGGGTTTCGGTATCAGCGGCATTACCGGAGGCGTACGTGGCATAGGATATATCACTCAACAGTGCGGTAACTCCGCAGATTGTCCTCCTTTGGACGAATCAATCAAGTTATACAATCATGAACTGGGACTGTATAATCCTGTCTTTTCTTGTCCTTTCCCTTTCCCTTACCGTTTAGCGTACCCGACCAAAACGTTCCCCTCCTTCTTTCCTAATAAGTGTCAAAGCATCACGCCCCTTCAATTCGGGAGCGAACTCCAGCTCACAAGATCCACGTCATCGAGTGCTCCTACCTGTTCCGCAACCGCCGTGCCATCGACGCCCTTCTCCCCTGTTTCAGCCATTGCTGCAAGAGTTGCAGGGTCAAAGTACAGCTGGTCATTGTTCTTTCCAACAACTGGGATACTGCGCGCCAATTTGCCTCGCCAGAATCCATAGTGCGCCGTGATGGTCACACGAGCTGAAAAACGCCCCCCGATAGGTCTGGTAACAATGAGAGGGAGACGGATGGCTCGCGGGATCCCGGCTTTTGCGACCGAGTCCTGTTCGACCACCCAGCTGATGATGTTGTGGTTCCGGCCGCCGCCTCGGACACCATGGACTACGACTCGACCCTTCTCTAGCTGTGGCCTTTTTAAGTTGGGCTCGAGGGTGACATGGCTTTGGGGGGAATTACACTTACAAAAGTTCTGCTTTTCTCTACTCCAACCTCAGCACCTGCGGATATGTATCCCGCATTGATCGACGCACTCGCCGATTCGGTGACAAGCGCGGGTGTTATCTCGCCTTTGAACAACTCGGGATGGAATGCAGCCACCGCTGGATGCTGCGCTTTCTTTCCGCTCTCATAGGGGGCATCCTCGAACTCAATGGTGATCTCAGCTTGCTGGACGCGGTAGAGCCAATTGGTAGACGCACGCTGGAAGGCAAAGTGCGTTCGAAGGAGATAGGCCGGCAATCCCTTATATGTTCCAATTTTGATGGGTCGTTCCAGTTCAGCGACAAGTCGGGACCGGCCAACGACGTCTGCGATTACCTCGCGTGGTATTGATAGCTCCTCTTCGGTGTTGGTTTGGGAACTGTCTAAGTACTCCTCATCGTCTAAGATCTCGAATTCGATTTCCCATTTTATCGCCCCATCCCTGGTGGTTCCTTCGGTTGTGGGTGTAGATTGGTGTATCTCTGGCGTCATATTTGTGCGCAAACTCTTCAGCAAAGGAGTTCTACCAGGAGGTGTACTCAGATATCAATAGTATATTCAGGGAGCTCCGAGTTCAAGTACGCTCGTAAGCCACTCATCACATTCCCACATACGCATCTATGCACAGCTAGGCTGCAGTCCCGAAAAGGTAGGAATGATGCTATTTAAAGGCGTCTAGCTTGTTCTGGAGCGTGGTTGGATCGTTTCCAGCCTCTGATAACATTTTGCCGCACAGCACTCGTATTCGCGTACCCATGTACCACTCGACACACATGCAACAGGCCGCAGATGCAACAGATTCCTAAAGATGGGAAGCTCGGCTGAGAAAGTAAAATTATACATTATGCTACAAGAGTATTTCACACGTCGCATGTAAGAGGTTCAACTTTCATTCGACAACTTATCTAGCAATACACCCTGCAGTGATGGGATCACCACCTCGCGTGTACAATGGCATGCTCACCTCTCTCTACAACACTATTCCTCCCTTGGCTGTCGACCATCTCGAACAAGCGATCTGGACAAATCGAACCGGCAGATATGCAGATGCCGTCTCCATTTTCATCACCCATCTACACCCATATTTGGATACCCCCGTGGTTCTCGAAGGGCTTGCAAACCTACACTTCTCGAACTTTCGATATAGGGACCTATGCGAACTTCTAGAACCACGCCTGGAGCGTCATCGGCTGGAAAACCCGGCAAAGCTGGATGAACCGGAATGGCGGCTCCTCACTTTGATCTATAGTGTCGGCGCGAATCGATGTCGAGGGAATATGGAACCTGCCATTAGAGAGCTCAGACGTACTCAACAATGGCTGAAAGACCTTTCTGTCTCGGAGTACAGTGAACTGCATGTGCAGTGTGCGTGGAGATACGTCATTGCGTATCTGATGACGAGGCTCCAGACTGGACTCGAAGGCAATATGGACGACTACCACGCTATTCCGCGGCCTAACAATCCATCTTCAACAACCCCTTGGGAGGGACTGGGTGACCTGCGGCGTGAGCTTGTCAAGCAAGGCAGAATAAAAGAAGCGAATGGTATTTTCAGGCCTGAGCTCAACCGTGCGCCGCTGAAGGAACGGCTCGCTCTTGGTGAAGCATTCATCAAAGACCTCGAAGCCTGCGATGAGCCCAATCACAAGAAATACATGATCGCTTCGGTGCGGTTACAGCTCACAACGGCAATGGTCGAGGTCCATGACCTGGATATGGCCAAGAAGCAGATCAGACTGTGCAGCGAAGCTCTGGATCAGTGGCAAGCTGATGTGAGACTTGACGCCACACGTATCGTCCCTCTACGACTTGAAATCGAACAAGTGAAACTAGGCTTCATTGCAGACCACGTAGAACGACTGCGTGCACTAGTCGACCTTGCTGACCGCATGGGCGAGTACGGGCATTCGTATTACACGCGGTGTCTGGATACGGCAGCTGAGACGGCCAACAAGGCTTCAGAATTGACCGGAAATCTTGAGTACAGAGCCACATGTCTTGCCTTACGAGAGCGGCTCGAACGTGCGAACGAGGAAATCACAGGAGATCTTATCGATGTCGCGATCCACGCTTACGAGGTGCATAGTCTGGCTCAACACGCCCACGTCGATGCGCAGAAGGCTGTTGAATGGATCGACGGATTCCTAAAGAAATACCCCGACTTCAAACCACCGCGAGTGATGGATTCGCTCTACACGCGTAAAGCCATCCTCCTGCAAACACTACGAGACCTAGAAGGGTCTAATGCTGCTGCTGCCGAAGCAGCGAAATGGCAGAAGTTGGTTGGTAGCTGGGTTGGCGTCAACAAGATGAATCGTGGTAATGTCATTGCGCCCGGTGATGGTGCTCTCGGAGAGGCGCCGTATGATTCCGAAGAGGATAATGATGATGGTGAGGGCTTTTTGAATGGGTTTGGGGACACTGGAGTTCAGCGGACGAATATTATTTTTGAGAGAATGGCTGCGTTTGCGTTGCAAGATGTTGCCGCTGGACGTTTGGCAGTGGCCGATGTGGGTATGGTTTTTGATCTTCCGCATGATTCCCGGGACTCTGCCTCCCCGGATGCTCAAGTTTCAGCGGCAGCAAATTGGGTGAACATCGACCTGGACAAGGAATTAGCTGCTCTTCGAGAACAGGATTCAGAACAACTATTCCGAACACTATGGATGCCGCCCAGTCAAGAGGCCGAAGTCTCTAAAGCAGTAGCCCGATACGAGTTCGTCAGGAAGTGGTTGCAGACGCCTGTCCGAGGCTCACGCGATCGGCGCTTGATGTGTCTAATCTGGTTCTTAGACGTGAATCAGCGGATGGCATCGGACGCCGGGTTCCGGCAGCTCTGCATCAGGAGCTGTGAGAGCCTACTCAGCCTCTGGGAATCGCTGCCGCGCATGATGAAGGAGTTCACATCGTCATGGCAGTGGTCGTGGCATGCGAGTATTGCGTGGAACTACTACACGCTCTTCCTGCAGGGCGGCCAGTGGACGCTGTTTGACAACTTTCATTATATTATCGAGATTGACAGGCGGTGCGACCTTGCAATTGACGGATTCAGGAAGACCAATCAGCAGGTCGGGATGGCGAATATCGAGCGCTTACAGGGTCAGCTTGCCATCATCACGCTGCGACGTTTGACCATATACAAGACGCTTGCCGCGCAGGATAACAGGTCGGAGTTCGAGGAAAAGGCGCTGGAGCTGTCTGTCGAACTATTTGGTGACCTGGAGAAATGCGAGGAGGGAATTCCGGAGATGCGACAAATAGGTCTCAAGCTACTGACAGAGGTTGATGAGATCTTCTCGAACACCGAGCGCGAAGCCTCGTGGGAAGAGGGTCTCGAGGGCATCGAAAAGCGTGCCGAACTCAACAAAATGCAGATGAACTACACAACCACACGCTATGCCATACGACTCTGGACAGACGGTGTAGATCCAGGGAACTTCGACGACGAAAATCGAACAGCGGTCTGGACCCTCACGCAAAAGTACAAGGCTAGGCTCCTGTCCCTTGCCATCGGCATGTACCGCCCCAACCCGCCCAGCCTCGTTCAACGCATTCAGGCGTCAGAGGTCGAAGGTCCGGTTTATCAGAAGATGCTGGACCTGCAGCACCAGATTGATGAGGCTGAGCCCAAGGATCGCTTTTTTAGGCGCATGCGGCTGGATGAGCATCGTAAGAAGATGAAAGGAGAGCAGTATCCGCTGCTGAGACAGCTCATTGCGCTGCGGGAGGGCACGCCGCTGAGCCTGGATGATCTGAACGATATTACGGATCGACTCGGAGAGGATGTTGTGTTGGTGGATTGGTTCTACCTGGATCCGTTCTTTGACCGTGGGAAACTTCTATTACTGACGGCTCGAAAGGGCACTGTCCCGACGTTAGATGTCCTAGACGTCGACGTCGCCGCGGTCGAGAAGTGGAAGAAAGAGCATCTAGACTCCTCTTCCTGGTTTACGGCCAATAACCGGAAACCCAAGCTCGCCAGCAAAGCGTCAAGAAGCGAATATAACGAGATCTGTGGCAACATCGTCAAACCCTTAGCAGAACGGACGAAAGAAGGTGACATCATCGTTCTCTGCCCCACAGACTTCCTCACCGGCATGCCGCTCCATGCCCTTAACGTCGACGGCGAAGCACTGATTCGCCGCAACCCATGTGTCTATACTCATAGCCACTCGCTCCTCCGCCCCTGCTCGTCGGCCGCGCAGTACGCATCCGACACCGGCGCCCCGCTCAACCCCAAGTTCTTCTCCGGCATCGCCGGCATTGGCCAAGACGCCGTCAAGTTCGCAGCCGGTCGCGCCAGCGTGTCTCAGCTTGCGGAACAGCTCGGCGGGACATCGCTGAAAGATGAATTATCCACTAAAGAGAATTTCCTGAGGCACGCGAAGGAGAGCAGATTGCTGCATGTCCAAACGCATTGTAGCTGGGATAGCAAGAATCCGCTGGATCACCATATCCAGTTCGAAACGCCCATCCCCAACTCCAATCCCATTATCAAACCTGGCGCCAATGAAAACAGCAACACTGACGACACCGACAACACCAACCGGCGGAGCACCATCGAGACTCTCTCAGCCCGCGATGTCTTCGGGCTCAAGTTTCAGCAGGGCTCGCATATAAACGTCATCGCGTGCTCAGGCGCTCTGACAGATGTCAAAGCTGGAGATGAGGTCATGGGCCTAGTCCCTGCGCTGCTGTATTCCGGGGCGAGCTCTGTGGTGAGTACACTGTGGCCTATATATGATAAGGTGGGCGCGAAGTTTTCGAGGGCTTTCTTTGAGAGATTTGTTGAGCAGCAGGAAGAGGGAACAAAGTGGGTCAATGTGGCCAAGGCGGTGCAGAGAGGTGTGTTGGAGCTGGATCCGAAGCAGATAGAGGGGTTGTTGACGTGGGCGCCGTTTGTGCTTAACGGGTTTTGGTTGTATGCTGTGTGACGGGATAGGGTGGTAGGGGATGATGTACGGGAGGAGATTTAGCTGGGTGTGGTTGGATGTTTCTTGCTGTACTCTGCACCTCTCAGTACGTGATTGATGCTTTCAGGAGTACCCCTCGACCAGCTACCCACTGTCGAGTCCTTGGTCAATTTCTTACCGATGGCTACTGCTAAGACGAAATTTCTGTCAGTGGTTGACTATTCACTAACAGAGGCGCTAGATGTGCACTGCATTACTTCAAAGTTGAATAATGTAAGAAATGCTTGGAAGGATTGACGTGCCCTTCATTGTTCGTTATCATTACTGCCGCTATCGTAGACACTCATATATACGCAAATCTGTATACTCAACCCCAACCGCCCTCATCCGGCCCCTTTCCAATTGCGCTACCACGCTCGGAAGTTGACCATGTTTAGCGACGCTTACGAACCGCTTGCTACCGCTCTTCGGCACTTCTTAGACTACCCTGGACACCTCCATATAGCACTCACTTTCTTCTACAAGATTCTATCCGGCATGTATTATGCCCAGACTACCCACGGTAGTTTTAAGTATGACATAACCAATCCGCTGGCTTATCCCTATATCCTTCTACCACTGACAAAAGCGCATTTCGGTACAAATAGCGCCAGGGATTGGAAAAATTGGTACCGTAATCTTATGAGGGGGTGGAAAATCCCCCAGGATGTTAAAAAGGTCCTCAATCACGTAGAAATTGCTGGATTGTGGCAATACCTGCCCCAAAAATGGTCCACTACTCACGGGGTCTTTATATGTCTGGAGGAAGTCATGCCCTACGTATCTCCATCAACTGGCAAGCACGAGCTCGCAGTCTCCGGAAAGCACTTCCTCCTAAACTGTGCCCTCCTCGACCTTAACCCAACTCCAGCCCACCACGAAACCTTGCGCCTCCTCGTCGCGCCCCAGCCGACGAACAACCTAGCACACCAACCGAACCTCCTTCTGGATCCGCTCCAATCGAACGCAAGCAAAATCCCAGAACTCAATGCCGCCTTGAAGAAATACCTCGAATACCCATACGCGATGACAAACGCTCCAACACACCACCGCGTAGACATATTCTCGGACAACAGCTTCACCGGCGCCCACGGTGGCAACCTCGAGCCAATCGAGTACCCACACGGCGCACCACTAGCCCGCGGTCCCCGCAGCGGAGCAATCGCAAGCGTGCTTCGCCTCTTCATCCGCATGGGCGTCGAAATTGCCCGTGTCTGGATCCGCGTCCACGTGCCCACCCTCGCGCAGTTCTTCCGGGAACTCGAGGGCCCGTTTTAGTACGCAGATACCGGCGCGCATCAAGCCAGACTTCGCAGCCTCGAACTTTCGCGGCGCGTTCCCGACGGTGTGGGCCGTGGCGTGGGAGCTGAGGCATGCCAAGCATACGCATTTGGCCAGTCTGGGGTTTGCGGTGTATGAGGGGATTTTGAGTGCGGCGACGGCAGGGGAAGCGGATCCGCACGGGACGATTCGTAAGGTGGACGAAAGGGTATTTGAAAAGCCTGGAGATATGGAGGCGCGGAGGAGTGCGTTTTATAGGCCTAAGGGGTTTGGGCAGCGTTTCCATCAGGAAGTAGTACGATTCGACTCAGGCTTTCTAGACAAGTTACGTCTCACTTATCATATACTTTTGTTTGCTTCACCTAACAGCAGGGGTTAATACAATTAAGTTACAGTTTAATTAAAGCTGCTTGTACTTCTTAACTTTTTACTAAAAGTTATAACATAACTGTTAAAGCTTTTAGAGTAGCAGGGTCCCCCTTACTCTTACTATAGCACGTAAGGTTATTTAATTTACTAAAAACAACCTTATAACGTAGCTAGTTCTTCTAGAGTTGCAAAGCTTTAATTATAGAGCCTAAGAGATAATTACAGTTACAAGTAACTGTCCTTTTCCCCCTGCTAAAGGCTCTGTGCTATCTCCTTATACAAGGGACTGTTATCTTTTACTATAATAAGGTTGTCTAAGGTTGTTGTAGTACAGGGCAAGCCCTAAGGCTACACTAACACGTAAATAGTGGCACAAACACGCTCCCCCAGCCCTCACGCGCGTTAGAGACTGCAACTTTAAAAAAGTCTACCTTAATTATATACTGCTTACTTTTAAGCCTTATTAATTAAATTGTAACAGTTAAAAATGTAGTTACGTTTGTTTGCCTCACGTGATTGTAGGTGGAGCAAAAGTATCAATCGTACTACTTCCTGTTGGAAACGCTGGGTTTGGGGATCGGTCTGAGACGGTGAGGATTGAGTTGGCTCAATTCGTTGCCGCGGGCTTGAGGCAGGATGTAGATATGCCCACTGGATTCTGCTGAGGATGCCTTGTTTGATGCTGAGGGCGAGGCCCAAGTTAGGACGGCTTATCGGGGGGAGTATCGGGTTGCAGAGGAGGTGGAGAATCTGGTTGGTGTTGAGCCTGAGATCAATGTCCTGGATTTTGCTGAGCGTTTACAGGACGCCGTTTCGCGGGAAGGTAGCTGTACGGTCTGCTTGAAGAGTATGGGTACCGGCTGCATGAAGCTCATTGAGTGTGGGCATGTTTTTCATGAGTGTATCAGTGAGTGAGTGAATGGTATTTCGGGGAAGAGGAATGCTTGCCCGGAATGTCGGAAAGTGGTGTGCCAGAAGAGGGAAGTGAGGCAATTGGTTTAGATACTGCAATTTAAGGCCCTGTGGAGTTGCATTTGCGGGAGTAGATATAATATACCTGTCGACACGGCATTCTCATTTCATTTTTCAGTACTGTCAGATCCCTAGTCCACCGAAATCTTCAAGACATAGAGATATAGAGAATTGTTTCTTTTGTATCCACCCAGAATCACATGCTAAACCTTAGACCTCTGCGAGTGTAATAACTTCACTCATAACCCTTCAACCATCTTTGGCAGTAGGAGCTCATTGTACGCCCATAGAACCGTCGAGTATCCCGAACTGAAGGCTGCTCCAGTGTACCACGTGCTCCTTTTTCCTTGCAAAACCAGTTGCTTCTGAATAAACCCTTCTTTTAGCTGCTCAGTCGACACTCGAGAGTGTATCGCTCCATGATCTGCAAACACCTCAAAGTTGACAGTGCCATTCGTGTCTGGAATTGTTCCCTGGGCGACCATGCTGGCAACGGCCTTCCTAACTAGTTCTTTCATACTCTCAGAGTTATCCTTATCAGTTCCCACGGCTGTGAAGGAAAAGAGATCATTCGAGCCAACTTGTTGGCCTATCTTCCCAACTTGGGCGATGGATGGGTATACGGAGTAGTTGTTCGGCGCTGCAGCAAGAACAATATTTGAATACGCAGTCCCCTTTTGAAGACTAGGATGCTTGACGAGACCCGCATACACCGTTGTGTACTTTAAAGTTCTAAACACGTTTTCTTCATCTTCGTCCATACCAAACGGTGCCATGTTCATCAGGGTAGGTTCGATTGCGATGAGCAGCCTTTTCGCTGTAACCTTCGTTTCGGTACCGTTGGCACTTCGGACGATAACAGAAACTCTATTGTCTGTTCTGGTAGAAGATGACACTGTGCTCGAGTATAGTACATCAGAGCCGAGAAAATCCGCCACACGCTCGTACAGTTCATGCAAATTCCCGCTTGGAGGTACAATTGCACGGCCTAAACCGAGCAAGCCACGTGCCATGGGGACCCCAGAGGCTTGCATGACGTAGAGAGTCGGCACGTTCATGAAGTCACCTACGCCCATGACGGTAGCATCATACAATCTGGGTACAGCGGCAGATAAGTTGTACTTGTCCACAAATTGACCAAAGTTCATAGTCAGGTCCTCAGGGATCTTATCAGGAGAAGGGAAGTTGAAGAACCCTGGGATAAGAAGGCCCTCGTACTTCTCGCACAAATCCAGATATTTCTTGATGGCCGCGTTCTTATCCGAGTCGGCCGGTGGAGTATACGCGACTGGCAGTCCAGTGCGGAAATCGATGTACCTTGTCGTGACAGAGCCAAAGGCCATAGAGCCGTTGGTGGAGACCCCCATACGGGTAGGAAATGAAGTGGTGTTCAGATATTCCATCCAGGCTTGTACTCCAATGTTGATGGGGCGGCCTGTGGTGGGATCGTGGTATACCGCTGTATGACCGCCCTATGAGCGCTTAGTGAAAATGGTCATGAAAGGCGCAAGAGAGTATTTTAGGTCGCTATGGAGGCATAAAAAGCTGGCTGGTGCAAAATGAGGGCCAATGGTCTGATAATCATGGTTGAACAAGAAATTTAAATGGCAAATGCCCATGACTCGGGAGACGGTCAGAAACTGTGGTGTATTCTACTCACCAATGTATTTCGCTTCTCAATAACAGCCACGCTCTTTCCATTATCTCGCAGCCACACTGCAGCATGCGCTCCTGATGCACCACCTCCTACAACGATCACATCCCTCGTCAAGACATCCAAGCAGACAGCGTTCAACGCTAGCGGTGCGAGTGAGAGGTACACACCAACCTGGGTTCTTTTGAAAAGCATCCCTGCACTCTCCCTTCGAAGACTTCTAATGTAAACGAGCAGTTGTAGGGGATTGAAAGAATGTTCGTCTCTGCGGGGCGAGAGAGAGTATTATAACCTCCTTGCAGCCAGAAGGCTGATGGATTTCACCTAGGCTGAAGTGGGCTGGTCGTCAAGTAATATACTTTGCTGGCCGCCATGATCTGGAATGAAGTGAGCGACAAGATTACTTGCATGTAAGTACCGACTCGGTGTAGGCATCCATATGAACGTCGATCGTAGAGAGCAATTGCTAGAGCAAATGATGATGCAGCGTGGACTGACGTTTAATTTCGAAGATCTATATTACGGCTCATCTTAGCCTAATACAGTCCACGCGGTGCTTGGGAACCCGCAACGGTGGAGCGACAGGGGGATCTCTTGCCCCACAACTTGGAGAAAGCCTTGAAGCGTGGAGTCATTAAAGGCGACGAGTCTACGACTTGGGGTTTTGATTAGATCAGCTAGCGGTACGGTGAACTACGTTACCCAGCAACATGTTGTCCTCACAGAACTAGCTCCATGATCTCGGCTAGATTAGATGAGTATGTCGTCAAACGGAGGATGTGCTGCTGTAATTTAGACATATCCTGTTAATGTCAAGTAAGGTCCCCTGCTTAAAAGTAAATAATAGCTAGCTAATTCTTAGCTTTAATCAGGTTGGTAAAATTTCTTTTTTAAAACTTAAAGTTTATGTAAATTTAAGATTAGTTATTTAGAAATTAGTTAATTATTAGCTGTAGTTAAAAGAACACGTTCTAGCCCTAGCTCTTAACACTTTCCTGCCCCTGCAATAGTCTTTCTCTTCTTTGCACCTTGCGGTCTCCAGCGTTGCACCTGTTCCTTTCACCGCCTAATATTGCCACGCTACGTCTAATACTTCTACCTAATATCTTTAATTTAATTGTTTTGGCATTAAAGCCCTAGTTGTAGAGCTGTAGCTTGTGTAGTTTGTTGCCTCTGCAGGAATTTCTTAGAGTGCTAGGGAGCTCTAGGGCTGCCTTTGCCTCTGCCTCTGCCTCTGCCCCTCTATCGCCGCAAAGATTAATATAGTACATGTAATACCTTAACAAGCTGTTTTGCTTGCACAACTGCTAGTTTTGCTTCTTCAACTGCTGTTGAAATATAATAGGCTGATGCGTAGAGGTGTTAGTAAGAGATTACCTAGCAGCGTTAGGAAATGCATAAAGTAAATTGTAGCGAATTGCAGCAAACTACAGTAAATTACAGCAGCAGGCAGCAATCCCTAGTAGATATTAGTTGTGTTGCAAGTAGCTCTACGTATAGAGAGGGTTCTAGAGGAGTAATGCCTCTAGAAAAAAAACAAAAAAAGAGTAGCAATAATTACGCATAAGCTAGTGTTAGCGTAATAGGAAATTACTAAGCTTTAAGCAGCTAATAAGGTAGCTACATTTAGAAAGGCCTGCGCTTTAACAGCTCTAAAGGAGATTAGGGCGCCTAGTAACAGGAAGAATGCAAAGAAGCAGGTGCAAGCTAGTGTAGGTGAGCAATCTTAAAGACGCTGCAAACAGTGCAATTAGACTAGGCATAACGCGCAAACGTGTAAGCAAGAAGTAGAAGTAGTATCTAAATAATATTCTAGGCTGTACTGTACTATATAGTGCTAGAGGGGGTTGTTATAGGCTATAATAGAGTTTGTTGTAGTGTGGTCTTGGCAAAAGTAAGCAACTAAGGTGTGTGAGCAACTGCCAATCCTCGACACACCAATGTGGCTGATGCCAATCCCAATGTGGCTCTAATGCCAATCCCGACACACCGATGTAGCTAGAGAGGTGGAACAGACGCAACTAACCATAATTTACACAACGCATGCTAGAGCAAACTGCATGCAAATTAACATATAGGTGCACTTATATTAGCTATACATTTTTTTTAAAAAAGAATGTAAGAAATACATAAGGTGATAGAGAACTAGCATTACTAGAGTTTATCTAAAGAAATTATAACTAACTAGCGCGTCTAAAAAGAGGAGATTCTGCTTAACTTTTCGTTCTGCAAACTTGAATATAATAAACAGAGCAAGCTCTGCTAACAACTACTAGTTAGGCTAGAGAAACATTCAGGTCTCTAACTCTACAGAGGAACAACAAACTAATGCTAGTAAGAGCACAGCCTACAGAGATCACGTGACGCCCTAGAACAGGTATAGCGTATACTAGGGATTAGAAGAGTAGTTGCAAGACTTAGCAGAGTGGTTGTAAAGTTAGGTTGCAACTACCCTAGGAAAGTCTGCAACCACTCTAGGTGATCGCAAGACTTAGCAGAGTGGTTGCAGAGTTAGGTAGCGACCACTCTAGAGAAGTCTGCGACCACCTGTCGGTATATAGTCTTAACCTCCTACCTCTAGTAGAAGGTTGTAGTTATTCTTCACTTTAGAACACAGTCTTAGATATAGCAATATACTTAATATTTTTTCTAACTAAAAGCGTGTAAAGACTATTATTCTATTTATAATAGTATAAACATATTAGTTATCTTACTCCTACTCTTTATTCCCTTCCCCTACCTCTTCTACGCTACACAAGGATAGTACAGAGGACTGTACACCCTCTACGCACTGCTGTAAGTTAAAGCTACAGGAAAACCTACCCCTTTTCAAACCCTTCATCTCCTCTCCTCTTCTACTCTAAACTATTAAGGCTAGTTACTAGAAGAAGGCACCTAGTAATAGGAAAGTTAAGGTAAGATATTGTAACAATTTTCCTTAAGTAACTACAACAAGTACATAAAGTTAATAAGAGAGCGTTGTTAGGCAGTCATCTAGGCTAAAGGGGGACATACAAAGTAGTAAGACAATGTGACAATACCATGCTTATTTGTATGTATTTTACATAGAAAATAGCATTTTAAAAGCATTTAAGACTCGTGCGCCTGTACGCGCGGTTTAGCTCGTTCATGGGAGGGGGTTGTATAGTTGGCCCTGCTAAGACAAGTAAACATCTTATCTCAGCTAGCTTAGCCGGTGAGGAGAGAACCGAGGATGCACAAACCACCATACTACTCTAAATAGAGTATAGCCTAGGGGTTAGCAGTTTCTAACCCTTGTTAGTAGCGTTTCTCTTCTCAGCTGTCTAAGAGACTTTTGTAATTTCTTCTATAGAGTAAGCTACTTTTAGAGCTTAACAACAGAATTAGATTTACAATATCTCTACTACTATATAGCTAAATAGGCTTATAATTTAATAGAATGTAGAGACAAGCTGTAGCTATAAAATAGTATATTTTTTTACTAGATTCTAACTATTATTAGTAGAGAAAATCTAAACGCGCGCAGAACTTTAACCTATCTATACCCTAATTTTAGGTTAACAGTATTGCCCTCCTAACTAGAACTTAACAACTAGTAGACTAAATCCCCTAGAATTTTACAGGATCTCTAATAGAGCTAGTCTAAGACAGCTTCTAGATTCTTAGAGTCCTTAGACAACAGCTAGTTAAGCTGTAGACATAGGAGCGATCGCGATATCTCTAGCCTACTATGTAGCTTAACAACTAGCGGCCTAGATCTCCTAAAATTTTGCAGGCTCCCTAATAGAGCTAGTCTAAGACAGCTTCTAGATCCTTAGAGTTCTTAGATAACAGCTAGTTAAGTTGTGGCTAAGTAGCTAATTAGGCCAATTATCTCTATAGCTAGAGCTTAATAACAACACAACATAATTAGCTAGAATTTAGTATAGTATAAGATTAGGCCTGTCTTAGATAGGTCTTAAATTCTAAAGATAATATATTGTGTAGTTAGTGTAACGATCCTCATGAATCGTTCCATCTCGAGTCGCCCGGAACCTCCGGAAGGCCCTTGTATCGGCCCCGACCTCGACCTGGCCCCGACTCTGCCCTGCCCCCTGCTGTACCCCTATTCCCTTATGTATTTAGTCGCACCTTGCCCCTGTAGCTAGCTTAGTAGTATTCTAATATCCTTTTGTACAAGGCCTATAGGTGTTAATGGCATTCCTAGGTTCTAAGTTCCTACGCACTTCTATATGCCTCTAAGTGGATTTCTACTGCATTTAGACCTATTATCTTGCCTACGCTGTTACATTATATTAGAAAACTTGCTTTTGCTAGTAACAGCTTTATTATAATATTGCACTAATTATTTATTTAACTACGTCTAAGCTCTAAGACATGTCTAATTTAGTTTAGGTTATAATACTTACACACTATTATATTAAACTATTTAGTTTATAGACTAGATCTTATTAACCTTTAGATAACTAAAGCCTTTAGGTTTAGAACTTTCTATCCCCTGCAATTAAAATTGCCTTTAGAAAAGTTACAAAGAGGCGCTAAGGTAGAAACTTAGAGACTACTAATAACTTATTAGAATTAGAAGCAACTGCTAATGTCTAACTAACTACCCTCTAATTCTAGAATTAAAATACGCTCTAGCTAAGGCAAGCCCCCTAGAGTTAATTAACAATCTATGTTAACAGCTAAACCCGCTTCTGTAGGACCTAAAGCTATACCCTACCTAATTTAGAGTTAATCTATAGTAACATGTCCTAATAGACCTTAATTAACTACTAAATTACTCTTAATAATGCCTTAAATCACCTCTGCTACTCTAATAGCAAGAGACCTTTAAGACACCCCTAACAACGCCTAAATGTTACTACACTAAACGCACGCCTAAGATTAATAACTGTATAAAAGGCAAGTCCTAATTATTAACAGGCTGGACATCTATACAGACTACTATTAGAGCTGGCGCGCACGCATGGCGTTTAGTTAGAGGTGTCAGATATGCGCACCTACTGTCAAGACAGGAGGAACGTTTGACGAAAGCTGCTACATAGTACGAGCAATAAGCTCGAACAGTATGTTGCTGCAAATTGCTGCATGTTGCAGCATTTTGCAGCATTTTGCAGCATGTTGCAGCATTCTGCAGCAAATTGCAGCATGTTGCAGCAAATTACAGCATGTTACAGCATTTTGCAGCATGTTGCAAGCTGGTCGCGCAT